AACCTGCCTGGCCTTATGTGAAAAATGTAACCACTTGCCACACTCAGGCTTGATTACTGCCAGACCTGTTGAATCAAGAAATCACTTAAATAGAAGCTGTCTGACAAAGCGAAGCACTCTAAAAGATTTAAAAAAGCAACACATCATCCTCATCCAAAGAAATTCAAGAACAGAGGAGAAACAAAGAAACTGATATACAGTATATATCAGTCTGGAAAGGGTTACAAAGCCTTAAGGCTTTGGGACTCCAACGAACCATGGTGAGAGACATTATCCACAAATGGAGAAAGCTTGGAACAGTAGTGAGACTTACCAGGAGTGGCCGGCCTACCAAAATTATTCCAGAGCACAACAACAACTCATCCAGGAGGTCATAAAAGAACCCAGAACAACATCTATAGAACTACAGGCCTCACTTGAAAGACTGGGCAAAAATAGCATCCATGGGAGAGTTCCAAGGCGAAAGCCACTGCTGACTAAGAAGAATTAAAAGGCTCTTCTCACATTTGCCAAAACAAATCTTGATTATCTCCAAGAATTTTGGGCAAATACTTTGTGGACTGATGAGACAAAAGCTGAAATTTTTGGAAGGTGTGTGTCTCGTTATATCTGGCGTAAAACTAACACAGCATTTCATAAAAAGAACATCGTACCAACAGTCACACATGATGGTGGTAGTGCGGTGGTCTGGGGCTTCTTTGCAGCTTCAGGACCTGGACGACTTCCCATAATTGATGGCGCCATGAATTCTGCACTCTACCAGAAAATCCTGAAGGAAAATGTCCGGCAATCAGTTTATGACCTCAAGCTCAAGTACACTTGGGTTATGCAGCAGAGCAATGATCCTCAACACACCAGCAAGTCCACCTCTGAATGGCTAAAAAAAACAAAATGGTTTTGGAGTGGCCTAGTCAAAGTCTTAGACTTAAATCCAATTGAGATGCTGTGGCGTGACCCTAAACAGGCCATTCATGCTTGAAAACCCTCCATTGCGGCTGAATTAAAACAATTCTGCAAAGAAGAGTGGGCCAACATTCCTCCACAGTGATGTGAAAGACTCATTGCCAGTTATCGCAAATGCTTGCCTGCAGTTGTTGCCGCCAAGGGAGGCACAACCAGTTATTAGTCTTAGGGGACAATTACATTTTCACATAGAACCAGGCAGGTTTGGACAGCTTTTTTCCCTTAATAAATGAAATCACCATTTAAAAACTGCATTTTGTATTTACTCAAGTTATCTTTGTGTAATATGAAAATTGGATAATCTCGATCATGTAAGAGTGAGAAAAAAAAACAAGACAAAATGGAATTAGGGAGGGGGCAAATACTTTTTCACAGCATTGTGTATATACACACACACACACACACACACACACACACACACATTTAATCGCTTTCCCGCCGCACTATAGCAGAAATACTGCTACAGGGCAGAAGGGCTGTGCACAATCACGTATATATATACGTGATTTCACATTTACAGTTAGGGGGCACACATCGCGTGTGGCCTCAACTGTCGATCACCGGGTCCCAGATGGTGATTCCCTGCCAGCATCTGGCGATCGCCGAGTATCACTGACAAGGGAGAGGTCTGTATGTAAACAATACAGATCTCTCCCTTGTCAGCTCCTGCACGCTGCTTTGTATTGTTCTGCATAGCACAGCAATACAAAGCAGTGTGCTTACACAGTAAAGCACACACACAACACACAGTTAACCCTTTGGTCACCCCAGATGTTAACCCCTTCCTGTCCAGTGTCATTAGTACAGAGTTAGTGCTTTTTATTAGCACTGATCACTGTATTGGTGTCACTGGAGTCAGTGCCCCCCAGTGTCAGAATGCCCAACACAGTCCCGCTATAAGTGGCTGATCGCCGCCATTATTAGAAGAAAATAAACAAAAAAAATCCCAGTATCTATACCGCCATTTGTAGACGATAAAACTTTGACATATACCAATTAATTTACATGTATTGGGAATTTGTTTTAGCAAAGACATACATTTTGGCCTAAATTTATGATGAAATTTGATTTTTAACATTTTTCAACTGGACACGTTTTATAGCAAAAGGTAAAAAATAGTTTTTTTTCTCAAAATTGTTTTTTCTTTCTTTGTTTATAGCACAAAAAATAAAAACCACAGAGGCAGTCAAATGCCACCGAAAGAAAGCTCCATTTGTGAGAAAAAGGAGGTACAGTTGTGTTCAAAATAATAGCAGTGTGTTGAAAAAAGTGAATAAAGCTCAAAATCCTTCTAATAGCTTTTATTTCCATCCACACAAATGCATTGGGAACACGACACATTCTATTCCAAATCACAACATGAAGGAAAATAGATCAAATTTGTGTTGTTCCTCTAAAACAAAATTGAAGAAAAGTGAATATTAGACTTCAAAAAAATAGCAGTATTTGTATTCTTCTTTACAAACTCAAACATTCACTATATAAACTGAGAAATGTTTGAAGATTTTGCTTCCCTTTGAATGACTTCATGAATATTTGGTTGTAGTCGCACTGTTTCTGAGAACTGCTGTACATCTGTGTTGCATGGAGTCACCCAACTTCTGGCCCCTGTGATCAGGTATTCCAGCCCAGGATGATTGGACGACATTCCACAGTTCTTCTCTATTTCTTGGTTTTGCCTCAGAAACTGCATTTTTGATGTCACCTCACAAGTTTTCTATTGGATTAAGATCCAGGGATTGGGCTGGCCACTCCATAACGTCCATCTTGTTGGTCTGGAACCAAGATGTTGCACGTTTACTGGTGTGTTTGGGGTCGTTGTCTTGTTGGAACACCCATTTCAAGGGCATTTCCTCTTCAGCATAAGGCAGCATGACCTCTTCAAGTATTCTGATGTATTCAAACTGATTCATGATCCCTGGTATGCGATAAATAGGCCCAACACCGTAGTATGAGAAACATCCCCATATCATGATGCTTGCACCACCATGCTTCACTGTCTTCACAGTGTACTGTGGCTTGAATTCAGTGTTTGGGGGTCGTCTGACAAACTGTCTCCGGCCACTAGACCCAAAAAGAACAATCTTACTTTCATCAGTCCACAAAATGTTGCGCCATTTCTCTTTAGGCCAGTCAATGTTCTCTTTGGCAAATTGTAACTCTTCAGCACATGTCTTTTTTTCCAACAGTGGGACTTTGCGGGGACTTCTTGCAGATAGCTTGGCTTCACATAGGCGTCTTCTAATTGTAACAGTACTCACAGGGAACTTTACACCTTCTTTCATCTTCCTGGAGCTGATTGTTGGGTGAGTCCTTGCCATTTTGGCTATTCTTCTATCCATTCGAATGGTAGTTTTTCGCTTTCTTCCACGTATTTCAGGTTTTGGTTGCCATTTTAAAGCATTTGTGATCATTTTAGCTGAGCAGCCGATCATTTTCTGCACTTCTTTATATGTTTTCCCCTCTCCAATCAACTTTTTAATCAAGGTACGCTGTTCTTCTGAACAATGTCTGGAACGACCCATTTTCCTCAGAATTTCAGAGAGAAATGCACTGTAACCAGCATGTACAACGTTTGCTGCCTTCCTTCCTTAAATAAGGGCAATAATTCCACCTGTTTTTCAAAGAATGAATGACCTCACTAATAGAACTCCACACTGCTATTATTTTGAACATGCCCCTTTCAATGAGTGATTCAATTACACAGAATCAGCAGCATGCATGTCATGACTGTTGGGTCTGTTGGATTTCTATTACTCTACTACACCTGCTAGGAAATTATTTGCCATGTAGAAATATCATTTCTACCAAAAACAGTGATTGATCCGGTTAGTGATGTCTGACTGCTATTATTTTGAACATAACTGTAAGTTTCATTTGGGTGCAACGTTGCATGACCGCGCAATTGTCAGTTAAAGTAATGCAGCGCAGTATCGCAAAAAAACGGCCTGGTCAGGAATGGGGGTAAATCTTCTGGAGCTCAAGTGGTTAATCTAGCAGTCTTCTTGTTGGCCCAGTGATGTCATGGGCCCTTCCTCATCTTGTTCAACAGCAGTGGTGGGCAGTCCTTAGTCCTGCACTAACATAACATGTCAGTGCAGTTGTACAGTCAGCCCAGGCTCAGGGGGCAGGTCCATGACAGCCTGGGCTCAGAGGAAGCATGATGCTGGCTGTCATTTAACCAGGAAGGCTGGCGCTGTTTATTACTGGAATGGAATTACTGCAGGGGACAGTTCCTGATTGAAGGTTAGAATTGCAACTAAAGCCACTTATTTTAATTTTAAAGAGCTACTTAATTTTAATTCTTTTTTTTTTGTTGGAGTTCTGTTTTAAACAGCCACCTCTGTCGTGTTTAGCGTTCTCGTAGGTAAGCTTGTCAAATGACAGTCTTTAATGTATTGTTTGCTTGTCTAAGCCCTGCGCTTTGGCAGCAGACTTGAGCATATTACATATCTATCGTGTACTGATGGATTAGCAGCTAGAAACCAGATTGTTCAATGCTTTTCCGATGACTCAGTTAACACCCCGCAGCGGTGGAGATAGAAGTGCATTGTGCTGGATAGCACACCTGTTCTCCAACACCGCTCTCCCTATTAAACCTGAGACGGCTAGCTCCGAGCTAAGAAAACACAAAAGGTTCATTTTATTACATCAGAGGTTCATTCACACCAGGTCGCATTTGAACTCCAACTCACGGAAATACAGATCTTCAGAAAAAATATTGGCAGGAATTGTTAGTGTTAAAGTGTTACTAAACCCCGGACCCTGCATTTACTATATTCACTATATCCAGTCTCCCCGTACCCCGCATTCACTATATCCAGTCTCCCCGTACCCCGCATTCACTATATCCGGTCTCCCCAGACCCTGCATTCACTATATCCCTCCCCGGACCCTGCATTCACTATATCCAGTCTCCCCGGACCCTGCATTCACTATATCCAGTCTCCCCAGACCCTGCATTCACTATATCCAGTCTCCCGGACCCTGCATTCACTATATCGGTCTCCCCAGATCCTGCATTCACTATATTCCAGTCTCCCCGGACCCTGCATTCACTATATCTGGTCTCCCCGAAACCCTGCATTCACTATATCCAGTCTCCCCGGACCCTGCATTCACTATATCCAGTCTCCCCGGACCCTGCATTCACTATATCTGGTCTCCCCGGACCCTGCATTCACTATATCTGGTCTCCCCGGACCCTGCAATTCACTATATCTGGTCTCCCCAGGACCCTGCATTCCTATGTCTGGTCTCCCCGGACCCTGCATTCACTATATCTGGTCTCCCGAAAACCCTGCATTCACTATATCTGGTCTCCCCGGACCCTGCATTCACTATATCTGGTCTCCCCGGACCCTGCATTCACTATATCTGGTCTCCCGGACCCTGCATTCACTATATCTGGTCTCCCCGGACCCTGCATTCACTATATCTGGTCTCCCCGGACCCTGCATTCACTATATCTGGTCTCCCCGGACCCTGCATTCACTATATCTGGTCTCCCCGGACCCTGCATTCACTATATCTGGTCTCCCCGGACCCTGCATTCACTATATCTGGTCTCCCCGGACCCTGCATTCACTATATCTGGTCTCCCCGGACCCTGCATTCACTATATCTGGTCTCCCAGATACCCTGCATTCACTATATCTGGTCTCCCCGGACCCTGCATTCACTATATCTGGTCTCCCAGGACCTGCATTCACTATATCTGGTCTGGACCCTGCCACTATATCTGGTTTCCCGGCATTCACTATATCTGGTCTCCCCGGACCCTGCATTCACTATATCTGGTCTCCCCGGACCCTGCATTCACTATATCTGGTCTCCCCGGACCCCATTCACTATATCCCTGCATTCATTCACTATATCTGGTCTCCCCGGACCCTGCATTCACTATATTGGTCTCCCCGGACCCTGCATTCACTATATCTGGTCTCCCGGACCCTGCATTCACTATATCTGGTCTCCCCGGACCCTGCATTCACTATATCTGGTCTCCCGGACCCTGCATTCACTATATCTGGTCTCCCCGGACCCGGTCTCCCGGACCCTCTCCCGGACCCTGCATTCACTATATCTGATCTCCCCCGGACCCTGCATTCACTATATCTGGTCTCCCGGACCCTGCATTCACTATATCTGGTTCTCCCGGACCCTGCATTTACTCCCGGGACCCTATATCTGGTCTCCCCGGACCCTGCATTCACTATATCGGTCTCCCCGGACCCTGCATTCACTATATCCGGTCTCCCTGGACCCTGCATTCACTATATCTGGTCTCCCCGGACCCTGCATTCACTATATCCAATCTCCCCGGACCTGCATTCACTATATCTGGTCTCCCCGGACCCTGCATTCACTATATCCAATGTCTCCCCGGACCCTGAATTCACTATATCCGGTCTCCCCGGACCCTGCATTCACTTATCTGGTCTCCCCGGACCCTGCATTCACTATATCTGGTCTCCCACATGCGATTATTTTAGTAATATAAACTGCTAAATACCTTTTCTCATCAGCAGTTAGAGCAGTCTTGTGACTTCTATTAATCCAGCAGAGCACTGCTTGAAGCTTGTAGGAGGAGTTTTCATTTTGCCTCTAGGAGGATGCAGAACCCCTGACCTCTGTCTAGACAATGCTGATTGGCCCTCTGCTGATCACATGCACTCTCACAAAAAAAAAAACAATCTTTCTAGCAAAAAACACAAAACTGAGCATGTGCAGAGTGTCTCCACACAATATGTCTTATTAGGAGATAAGAGGGGGGCACTGGAAGAAGGGAAGGATCAGAGAAGTCAGGATCAAACCGCATTTTTACACAATGCAGAGGATTACCCCCTTAGGTTCCACAGTGAGTATAACAAGCATGCTTTACTGCATATACAGACTGATTTTACTGTTGTGGGTTCAGTAACAATTGAAGGTGGCCATGCACGTATCATCATGATCATAAAATGAATGATTTAAGGGCAACCAAAATTATCAATTTGCATGAAAATCATAAACCAAAGATCCATTTATTGAGCTCTCAATCGAATTTTGATTTTAAATTTTGTCAATTGCTTCTGATCAATTGAACAGATATCTACGGTTTCAGGAGTGTCATCATCATTTTGCTTAAATTTATACATCAATTGGGCATACACCTAACAATCAGACCGATCGATCAAATCTATGAATTATCGAACAGACATATACTGTGACATTATTTGCTTGGTTCAAAAAAAAAACAAAACACTATCAGTGTATGGCCAGCAGGGGCGGACTGACAACTCATGGGGCCCCCGGGCAATAGGGGATCATGGGGCCCCTGTGTCCTTCCCCAAACTCAAAAAAGCCTATGAAAAAGGTACCAGGGGCATCTCATGGGGCCCCCTACTGACCCCGGGCCCTCGGGCAGTGCCCGAGTTTCCAAATGGTCAGTCCGCCCCTGATGGCCAGGCATCCTCCAATCTGCCGAAGACTGATGACTTCATCTCAGCCTAGGCTGAAGTTCAAGGGCGGCTTTGTGATACTTAAATGTGGAGTCCTTTTTACCTGGAAATGATGCTGTTCCTGTATATTGTAAAACAGCAGCTTTTTCATGCAGATTGGTAAAGTTACTGATAGGTCCACTTTAATAGTACCAGTATTCTGTGTTATTTATTCCCCTTTCTTGCATTTTTTTACCATTTTTTCCAAAAATTAAGAAACATACAATTCTATGGTCTGGCTATGCTTTCCCCGGGATTAAAACACACTTTCAAAATATCCAGATATTAGGAAAAGGCATCTTCCGGTCTGATTCTAAGCTTCATCTTCTTTCCTTTTTTTCTTTCTCTTATTAACCCTTCGAGGAACAGCCAACCCACTTATAGCACCACTCTATGTTCTAGTTTTACACATTAATGCCCCGTACACACGATAAGAAAATCGTACGTAAAATTTCGCGGAACCGCCGATCGAGCGATTTTCTCTTCGTTGATGAGCAGGGTGTTTTAACCAATAACGATATTGTGAATGAAAAAATCCGGTTGAACAACAGTGAAAAATGTCATTTTGCATACGAACGACCGATTGTCTATGCGGTGGTATGACGGTCGTACGAAAAAAAATCTATCAAGCGCTATCACGCATGAGCGGAAACAGAAGATGACCCGGATGTTTATGTCCAAGGAATCTTCATAAACACGAACGAAAAATCCAAATGTTAATCTCAATCGGCCTAATGAGATAATGAAAGCAGAATTCTGCAGATTATATTTTATGTATCACTATTTATGTATATACAGTCATGGCCGAAATTGTTGGCACCCTTGATATTTTTCCTGAAAATCAAGTATTTCACACAAAAAAGGTATTGCATTAACACATGTTTTGCTATACACATGTTTATTCCCTTTGTATGTATTGGAACAAATATAAAACAGAGGCAGAAAAGCAAATATGACATAATGTCACACAACAAAACCCCAAAAATGGGCTGGACAAAAGTATTGGCACCCTTAACTTAATATTTGGTTGCACACCCTTTGGAAAACATAACTGAAATCAGTCGCTTCCTATAACCATCAATAAGCTTCTGACACCTCTCACCCGGAATTTTGGACCACTCTTCCTTTGCAAACAGCTCCAGGTCTCTCTTATTGGAAGGACACCTTTTCCCAACAGCAATTTTAAGATCTCTCCACAGGTGTTCAATGGGATTTAGATCTGGGCTCATTGCTGGCCACTTCAGAACTCTCCAGCGCTTCTTTGCCATCCATTTCTGAGTGCTTTTTGACGTATGTTTGGGGTCATTGTCCTGCTGGAAGACCCAGGATCTTGGACGCAAACCCAGCTTTCTGACACTGGGCCCTACAGTGCGACCCAAAATCCTTTGGTAATCCTCAGATTTCATGATGCCTTGCACACAGTCAAGGCACCCAGTGCCAGAGGCAGCAAAACAACCCCAAAACATCATTGAACCTCCACCATATTTTACCGTAGGTACTGTGTTTTGTTCTTTGTAGGCCTCATTCCGTTTTCGGTAAACAGTAGAATGATGTGCTTTACCGAAAAGCTCTATCTTGGTCTCATCTGTCCACAAGACGTTTTCCCAGAAGGCTTTTGGCTTACTCAAGTACATTTTGGCAAACTGTAGTCTTGCTTTTTTATGTCTCTGTGTCAGCAGTGGGGTCTTCCTGGGTCTCCTGCCATAGCGTTTCATTTCATTTAAATGTCGACGGATAGTTCGCGCTGACACTGATGCTCCCGAGCCTGCAGGACAGCTTGAATGTCTTTGGAACATGTTTGGGGCTGCTTATCCACCATCCGGACTATTCTGCGTTGCAATCTTTCATCAATTTTCCTCATCCGTCCACGACCAGGGAGATTAGCTACAGTGCCATGGGTTGCAAACTTCTTGATAATGTTGCGCACTGTGGACAAAGGCAAATCTAGTTCTCTGGAGATGGACTTGTAACCTTGAGATTGTTGATATTTTGCCACAATTTTGGTTCTCAGGTCCTCAGACAGTTCTCGTCTCCTCTTTCTGTTGTCCATGCTTAGTGTGGCACAGACAGACACACAATGCAAAGGTAAGTGAACGTCTCTCCTTTTTATCTGCTTTCAGGTGTGATTTCTATATTGCCCACACCTGTTACTTGCCCCAGGTGAGTTTACAGGAGCATCACATGCTTGTAACATTCTTATTTATCCGCAGTTGTGAAAGGGTGCCAATACTTTTGTCCAGCCCATTTTTGGAGGTTTGTGTGACATTATGTCGAATTTGCTTTCTTTCCTCCCTTTTTTTGTTTTGTCCCAATACACACAAAGGGAATAAACATGTGTATAGCAAAACATGTGTTAATGCAATACGTTTCGTGAGAAATACATGATTTCCTGGAGAAATATCAAGGGTGCCAACAATTTCGGCCATGACTGTAGGTCATGGAATAAACTACATTATACTCATTGCTGGTAATCGTTGTGTATATCGCTCGTTCTGGCCGGAAGGGCGTGGCTACAAGGTCACACGCACACCGCATCACTTCCACTTGTACGGAAGACGTCAACACTACATATTGCCCGACCATTGATTTTTTTTTTAATTATTTTTTTTTAGATTGGTTAATGTGGGCCACGATTTCAACCAATGAATGAACGCCTCTCGGTCGTTGGATGACCGATTGGTCGATTTTATAATCGTGTATTCCCACCTTAAGACAGTTGGAGATTCAGGATGATGTAGTTGGAATATAAAAAAAAAAAAAAAAAACGAAAACTTTCCTGATAATTTGCTTGCTCCAGACCGGATTGATCAACCACTGAACATTAAACTCATATGTCTTGGTACTTTCTCACAGATTAGGGTATGCTGGAAGGAGAAAAGACAGAGAGAGAGAGAGAGAGAGAGAGAGAGAGAAACACAGCCCTAAAACACCATTTTGTGGGTAATTTTCTGCGTTGGAGCAGGAGGTGGACAGATGACAGCATAGACCTAAAACAGGCCCAGTACAGATCCATCACAATCCCAGGACACATGCACAAATTCCATGATTAAGCCCTTCGTGGAGTAAAATGCGTTGGAGTGGGAGGTGGGCAGGCAAGAGCACAGACCTAGGACAAATCCAGCACAGGCTCTATGATTATTATTATTATTACTACTATAATACAGGATTTATATAGCGCCAACAGTTTGCGCAGCGCTTTACAATAGACAGTACAATTACAATACATTTCAGTACAGAAGGAATAGGAGGGCCCTATACAATATAGATCAGCTCCTGCACACTGCTTTATATTGCTCTGCATAGCACAGCAATACAAAGCAGTGTGCTTACACAGTAAAACACACACAGCACACAGTTAACCCTTTGATTGTCCCAGATGTTAACCCCTTCCTGTCCAGTGTCATTAGTACAGAGTTAGTACTTTTTATTAGCACTGATCACTGTATTGGTGTCATTGGAGTCAGTGCCCCCCAGTGTCAGAATGCCCACCGCAGTCCCGCTATAAGTGGCTGATCGCCGCCATTATTAGTATAAAAAAAAAAAATAAACAAAAAAATCCCAGTATCTATACCGCCATTTGTAGACGATAAAACTTTCACATATACCAATTAATTTACACGTATTGGGAATTTTTTTTTAGCAAAGACATACATTTTGGCCAAAATTTTTGACGAAATTTGATTTTTAAAATTTTTCTACTGGACATGTTTTATAGCACAAGGTAAATTTTTTTCAAAATTGTTTGTTTTTTTTTTTTTGTTTATAGCACAAAAAATTAAAACCACAGGAGGCGGTCAAATACCACCGAAAGAAAGCTGCATTTGTGGGAAAAAAAGGATGTAAGTTTCATTTGGGTGCAACGTTGCATGACCGCGTAATTGTCAATTAAAATAACGCAGCGCCGTATTGCAAAAAACGGCCTGGTCAGGAATGGGGGGTAATTCCTCTGGAGGGCAAGTGGGTAATCTAGCAGTCTTCTTGCAGATCCATCACAATCCCAGGACACATGCACAAATTCCATGATTAAGCCCTTCGTGGAGTAAAATGCGTTTGAGTGGGAGGTGGGCAGGCAAGAGCACAGACCTAGGACAGATCCAGCACAGACTCTATGATTATTATTATTACTATTATACAGGATTTATATAGCGCCAACAGTTTGCGCAGCGCTTTACAATAGACAGTACAATTACAACACATTTCAGTACAGAAGGAATAGGAGGGCCCGGCTCATGGAGCTTACAATCTATAGGAAGGGGGAGGTGATACAGAAGGTAATAGCTGCGGGGGATGATCTGGGGGAGGTGATTCAAGCACAGTTCTTAGGTGGAGGTGGGGTAGGCTTCCCTGAAGAAGTGAGTTTTCCTAAAGGCAGACAGGGTGGGGGCTGACTGGACATACTGTGGTAGGGAGTTACAGAGGATGGGAGAGGCTCTGGAAAAGTCCTGGAGGCGAGTGTGGGAGAAGCTGATGAGGGAGCTAGAGAAGAAGATATCTTGGGAGGAGCAGAGTGAGTGATTTGGGCGGTATTAAACCCTTTGTGAAGTGAAATGCATTGGAGTAGGAGGTGGGCAGATGAGGGCATAGACCTAAAACAGACCCAGCACATACAGTGTCTAGGACAAATACAGACCAGACTCAGCACAGACCTAGGACAGACCCAGGACAGAACCAGCACAGACCTAGCAGAGACCTAAGACAGACCTAGAACAGACACCTCACAAACCAAGGACACACATTTCTCTATGATTAAGCCCTTTGTGGAGTGAAATGCATTGGATCAGGAGGTGGGCAGATGAGAGCACAGGCCTAGAACAGACCCATCATATATCTAGAACAGATCCAGCACAGACCTAGGCAGACACAGGACAGGCCAACAGCAGACCCAGCACAGACCTAGCAAAGACCCAGCACAGATCTAGAACATACCCAGAACAGACCTAAAACAGACCCAGCACAGACCTAGAACAGACTCATCACAAACCCAGAATAAACCTAACACAGACTCTGATTAAGCCCTTGTGGAGTTGGAGACCTAGAACAGACTCACTATATATAGGACAGGCTCAACAAAGACCTTGGACAGACCCAGCAAAAAACCAGGACACACCAAGCACAGATTCTATGATTAAGTTCTTTGTGGGGTGAACAGAACCAACCCACATTACAGCATGTCTAGGATAGACCCAGCACAGACCAACAACAGACCCATCACAAATCCAGGACATACCTAACACAGACTCCATTGTTAAGCCCTTTGTGAGGTGAAATGCATTGGAGCAGGAGGTGGGCAGATGAGAGCACAGACCTAGAATAGACCTGGCATATACTGTATCTATGGCAGACCTAGGAAAGACCCACCACAGACCTAGGAAAGACCCAGCACTGACCTAGGAAAGACCCGGCACGAACATAGAACAGACCCAGCACAGACCTAGGAAAGACCCAGCACAGACCTAGGAAAGACCCAGCACAGACCTAGGAAAGACCCAGCACAGACCTAGGAAAGACCCAGCACAGACCTAGGAAAGACCCAGCACAGACCTAGGACAGACGCAGCACAGACCTAGGACAGACGCAGCACAGACCTAGGACAGACCCAGCACAGACCTAGGACAGACCCAGCACAGACCTAGGACAGACCCAGCACAGACCTAGGACAGACCCAGCACAGACCTAGGACAGACCCAGCACAGACCTAGGACAGACCCAGCACAGACCTAGGAAAGACCCAGCACAGACCTAGGAAAGACCCAGCACAGACCTAGGAAAGACCCAGCACAGGAGACCTAGGAAAGACCCAGCACAGACCTAGGAAAGACCCAGCACAGACCTAGGAAAGACCCAGCACAGACCTTGGACAGACCCAGCACAGACCTTGGACAGACCCAGCACTGACCTAGGAAAGACCCAGCACTGACCTAGGAAAGACCCAGCACTGACCTAGGAAAGACCCAGCACTGACCTAGGAAAGACCCAGCACTGACCTAGGAAAGACCCAGCACTGACCTAGGAAAGACCCAGCACTGACCTAGGAAAGACCCAGCACTGACCTAGGAAAGACCCAGCACTGACCTAGGACAGACCGAACACAGACCTAGGAAAGACCCAGCACAGACCTAAGACAAGCCTAGCGCCGACCTAGGAGAGACCGAACACAGACCTAGGACAGACCCAGGACAGACCCAGCACAGACCTAGGACAGACCCAGCACAGACCTAGGACAGACCTAGGACAGACCCAGGACACACCCAGCGCAGGCCCATCACAAATCCAGGACACACCTAGCACAGACTGCATTGTTAAGTCCTTTGTGGGGTGAATTGCGTTGGAGCAGGAGGTGGACAGGTGAGACTGTATGCTGTGAATCCTCTACTTATTATATTAAAGCTGTTTTTACATCAGTGACAGCATCGCTGTGCAGCTTTTTAATTTCTATTTGCCAAGCCGAACAGCTGAGCCGGGATAAGCTCCTTGGCATGCCCCTGATGAGAGCTGAGGGTACAGGAAAAAGAGGCAAGTTTAGAGTGGTATAGCTACTATTTTTCAACATTGATCTTTTCTTATTTGGCCCCTTTTGGTCTGTAAATATACAACTAGTCTGTTCAACATGTGCCAAAAATTACCTGTTGATCCTGCCAAAAAACTTGTGATCTGAAAACACTTTGTGCCTGTGCTGACCCTTATCGGGTAAAATAGTTTTCCAGGTTTCTCTAATGACTACAGAACACCTCCCTCTTCCCCATAACATAAGGAAAGAATATTCTATACTACTGTGCTACGGGTGACACTGTTCCTCCTTAGACATAATACAATAAATGTGAGTTCTCATGTTTAGCATGGCAAGGAATGATCCATATGAGTTTTGCAAAAAATGCTGGATCTGTGCAGCATAGAAACCATTATGAATCATCCCTGCTAGTTCCACTATTTACACCAGAGCCCTGAGGATGGAGGTGCTTGCTTTGCCATGAAATGTGTTGGATATCCTGTGGTCTCTTGTACATTGTCCAATGCTCTCATTAAATTATACTGTATACATTATTTACTTTTTATGACATCATCACCAGGCTTGTAAGATTCTAGGTTCAAGGTAAATGCTGGAAGCTCAGACCATAATGATTCTCAGAAGCCCGCCTCACCACATTCCTCCTTGACCTTGTCCCCACACAACTCCTCCGGTCACCCTCCTCCTCCATCCTACGCTCCCTCACCCACATCTTCAATCTCTACCTCTCTACTGGCGGATTGCCCTCCTCCCTAAAGCACGCGCACATCACCCCCATACTCAAAAAACCCTTCCTGGACCCCACCGACCTGAACAACCTTAGACCCATCTCCCTGCTGCCATTTACGTCCAAGATCCTTGAGTGCTTAGTCTACAATCGCCTAAGCGCTCATCTCACTGACAACAACCTCCTCGATACAGTCTGACTTCCGTCCCCTACACTCCACCGAAACCGCCCTACTCAAAATCACTTATGACCTGCTAACCGCCAAAGCTAACGGCCACTACTCAGTCCTCCTACTCCTCAACCTCTCCGCGGCCTTCGACACAGTTGACCACCACCTCCTCCTTAATAAACTACACTCCCTGGGCATCAGAGACTCCGCTCTCTCCTGGCTCTCCTCCTATCTATCCCAACGCTCCTTCAGCATTACCTATAACGCTACCACCTCCCCCTCTCTCCCCCTCTCTGTTGGGGTCCCCCAAGGCTCGGTCCTCGGGCCCCTTCTCTTCTCCATCTACACCTCCTCCCTCAGCAAACGGATACACTCCCATGGCTTCAACTATCATCTCTACGACGATGACACGCAAATTTACCTCTCCACCCCTCACCTCACCCCTTCAGTCTCCGCCCGTATCACCCACCTACTGAACGACATATCAGACTGGATGTCGCTCCATTTCCTCAAATTGAACCTTTCCAAAACCAAGCTCCTGATTTTCCCCCCAGCCCGTGCCCCCCCCCCCCCCCCCCCTCTCCATCACGACCAACAACGCCACCATCAGTCCCACCCCGCAAGCCAAAGTCCTAGGTGTCACTCTAGACTCAAACCTGTCCTTCCAACCCCATGTCCAATCGTTGGCAAACTCATGCAGGCTCCACCTCCGCAACATCTCCAAAATACATACGTTCCTAACCCCAGACACTACTAAACAACTCGTTCACTCCCTTATTATCTCACGTCTGGACTACTGCAACTCCCTTCTCACTGGCCTGCCTCATCACAGACTATCCCCGCTTCAGTCTATCCTGAACTCAGCGGCCAGACTCATCCACCTTACCAACTGCTCCACTTCTGCCTCCCCCCTCTGTCATTCCCTCCACTGGCTCCCGATTGCCCAACGCATTAAATTCAAACTACTAACACTGACATACAAAGCCATTCATAACTCTGCCCCAAACTACCTCACCGACCTGATACCCAAATACCACCCTACCCGTAATCTTCGCTCCTCACAAGACCTCCTACTTTCTAGCTCCCTAGTCTCCAACTCCCACGCCTGACTGCAGGACTTCTCCAGGACTTCCCCGATCCTCTGGAACTCACTACCCCAATCCATCAGACTGTCACCTACCCTCCTCACCTTTAGGCGCACCCTGAAAACCCATCTCTTCAGGGAAGCCTACCCCGCCCTCACCTAACAGCCGATCTCCTCCACTCCTCCTACCACTCCATCCCCCACAGCCACTTCCTCCTGTACCACTATCCCCTCCCTCCTAGATTGTAAGCTCGAAAGAGCAGGGCCCTTGACCCCCTCGTGTTTTGTTTTTTTGTTACTGTATTGTCTCATGTTCTGTCCCCCACTATAATGTACAGCGTTGAGCAAACCTTTTAGACCTAATCTGCATATTCATGGAGGGTCCAGCCCATCCCAAGTTTGGAGGCCCTGGTAGAGTGGTGGACTGGCCTATAAGTATGAGAGAGTAGGGCTGACAGAGTCAAGAGGAAGATGGGAGT